GTCTTTCTAATCTTGCCCCTGCATTCCTGTGGTGTTTGCCTATATTCATCCTTTGTAATGGTGTCTGTGTTTGTGAAATGGACATTCATCCTGTCTGGAGGCAGAATTTTCTCTGGCTAAAACAATGAGGTGAGCAGTGTAGGACAAGGACCATCCTGACAGCTTGTATCACCTGAAAACAGGCCAGCAGAAATTCAGTTCTGCAGTCTGCTTGGCTGGGCTCCTGAAGTGACTTCTCACCTTCTCCTACTAAGAAAATAGCAAGGCCCGATTAATAGGTGGCATATGAGGACCAGTGACCCTATGAGCTTATTTAAATTAGAGGCAGTTTGGCAGCAGGGGGTTTCTCTTTTAAGTTTAACCCTTCTCACATTAAACATCAGGCAACAGGTGAATTATCCCCAAGCACAAGGGAGTAATTCAGCTGTTGTCCTGACACACAGAAGGGTTTGGCTACCCAAACCTTGGACTCTAGATAAAATTTAACTCAGGTCAAAAGGCATTAGCCATATTGTTGTGCTATGAGCATACTCCAAAACATGCCTAGTAGGAAGTGGACAAAGGATTGTGCAAACACCCATTTTAATTGCCCGGAACAGAACCTTTAAGGGGAAAGAACCCATCATGTCCATTTCACAAACACAGACACCACACAGGTCGGTGCATGTGCGGCTGTGATTGTGTCCTGTCCCGCAGGGTGGAGTGGTGGGGGTTCCGCGACCCCAAGGATATGTGGAATGTGGGGGAGGGGGAAGTATAAGGAAGTCCCGGAATGCATTTGTCTGTGTGCTGCAGAGGGAGACAAGCACACACCTGTTCAGCCTGAAGTTCAGTCAGAGATCACAGCATGTCTGTTTGGTCCTTGAGCAGCACCATCATCTCTGCCTGTCCGTTTCTCCTGTCCTTGCTATCGCTCTGCATTCTGTCCCTGAGTGTCACCCTCCAAGCCTGGAATCTGACACAGCAGAACCTTACAGGACCTCCTGCAACATGTCTTCCCATGTCCTCTTCTTTCTCCTGTTTATCTGGCCCAGCTGCTCTTTCAGGGTGGATGGAGAGACTGTCAAGGCCACGCTTGCAGCTGCAAAAGAAAACAGTGGACAGAGGTACTATTGTGAATGCATTCACGGCCCCACGAGTTACAAGCACAACATTCTCCCTTCTCCTTGGGATCCATAGAGCTGGGCAGCAGTCCTAGGCATGATGAGTACGTCCTGGGGGGCAGAGCGAGTTGGGTCAATAACTTGGGGTAGCTCCCAGGCATCAGTATAAGCAGACGGGGCAGTTGAGCTGAATACTGTCACCGTTTCCCACAGGCAATGGAGACTTTAGCGTATATCTTGCTCCTGAGGGTAACGGAGGCAGAAAGGAAACGGCTCCTGCACGCGTCCGGCTGCTGTTAGTCCGTGTGCTGCAATGATGCCTGCCGAATTGCTGAGTGTTGTGGGAAGGTATCCTAGTAAGGCAGCCCTCCCCAGAAACCTTCGGCAGAGGATTGCACCCTACCTCCAGGAAAGTTTCCTTGAGATCTCTGTGGAAGATGCACGGGACATCCCGGGGCGCACAAACTGTTCCGCTGGGCCCCCTCTGTCTAACGGTACAGGGGAATGAGAAGCAGACAGCAAATCTACCTCTATTGGTTATTTCACTATCTCTTCTAACCTGATTAAAAACATGAACAGATGTCTGCCTGCAATACTGAAGCAAATGTCCTACTTACCAGAGGTTCTTTTCCCTGAATCAGGCTTGCCGGTGCTGGATGATGGGGCTGGCTCAACTGCTCTGGTGTCAGGAAGACACCACTGGATCCCCCGTTCGACTGTCCCCCACACTCCTCCTCCTCCTGTTCCTCGTCCAACACCTTGTACTCAGGGTTCACGCCAGTGGTGCATGACTCTGACTCCTCCGAAGTATCCACAGGGCCCTCGGGGTGGTGGTGGGGTCACCGCCAAGGATGCCATGCAGCTCCTTGTAGAAACAGCATATCTGCGGCTCTGCACCAGAGCAACTGTTTGCCTCCCTTGCCTTCTGGTGTGCCTGCCGCGGCTCCTTGATTTTCATGAGGCACTGATGCATTTCCCTCTTGTAGCCCTTCTCCACCTTGTCCCAAGCCATCTGTCTGTAGATATCTACATTTCTATGGCTGGATTGGAGCTGTGCCGGCACAGCTTCTCCCCAGAGACCCAGGAGATCCACCACCTCCTGTGTACTCAAGGCAGGAGTGTGTTTGCTGCGTGGAACCAGCATGGTCAATTGGGCAGATGCTAGGTGAGCTCTCCATGCTGAGCAAACAGGAAATGAATTTAAAAGGTATGTGGCGAGTACCTGGCCACCGGACAGTGGAGTTCAAAACAGTGACTAGAGCGGTAGTGGTGTGGCATTGTGGGACACCTCCTGGAGGCCATTAAAATTGATGTAATTAACACAGTGTCTACACTGACACTTCATCATCATAACTATGTTGACTTAAGTGCTACGCCTCTTGTGGAGGTGGAATTATTAAGTTCACGTAGCGGGTGATTTACTTTGTCAGGAGCATCGTTATAGGGTAGATGCTGACCGAATAAGATTGACATAAGCCACCTTGCGTTGACCTAACTGTAGCATAGATCAGACCCAAATGTATGCAAATAACTAGAGCATAGATCTCAGGTATTATATTTGAGTAATATTAGTAGGCTGCCAGTAGCCAGATCCTGCACCTGGTTTGTTGGGTTACATTGCTGTCCATGGCTGCTTGTGCCTTCTTTTGGTTAAATACTCCCTCATCTTTACCTGCTGTTACAAAGCCCTGAGTTCATGTTAGCAAGTTTTGGCTGACATTAAAATGGTAGCTGTTATGAAGTTTCCATTCTAGGACACACTGAGGTTTTGAATCTGCTGAGTTGTTATCTGTAATCAAATGTCAAATTTATTTATAAAATAAAAATGCTTTTAGATCTGTAAAGTCGTCTCATGCTGGCAGGTTTTGACTGAAATGTGGCAATAGTCGACTTGTGGTTTTTAACAAATCAGTGATACTGCTTATGTTGTATGGAGAGACCCACCTCTTTCCCCTTTGCCTGGGGCCCCACCCTTTTCTCCCCCTTCCCTGGGGCCCCGCTCCTGTTCTACCTAGTGTCCCCCCATTCCACCCCTCCCAGTGCAGCCCCACAACCCGTTTGCTACTTCCTGCGCACATGTACCCCACTTCCCATGGCCCCAAGACCAGAGAAGCTCTGTCTCTCTCTCCCCCCTCCCCCAGGGCCCCAGGCCACAGCAAGGAGTGAGAGCTCCCTGAGCCATGAGGCTGCGGCAGGTACAAAGAGCTCCTCCAGTTCTGGGGCCACAGCGGGGGTCCCAGTGCAAGGACTTCCCCTTCTCCCCCTCTCCCCCCAGCTTCCCCTGCCGTGCCCACCCTACCCGCCCACTGCTGCTGCCAGGGAGCGGGGTCGGGGCGTGGGGTCTCTAGGGCCCCCCAGTTGGCCGGGGCCCCTCAGTACCGACCCCATAGGCCCAGTGGCTAATCCGCCACTGCCCCTTTTCTAGACTGAAAGCATCTTGTCTAATAGGCGTTATCCAGGTGTAACTACATTTGAAATACAGCTACATAGTCAATATTCACAATTTCAGATACAAAATCGCATCACGTCAACACCCACCACGGGCCTTTGCGATGCTTTCTTTCAATTAAACAGTCGGATTCTCCTGATCCGCACCAGTTCTAAGTCAGCTGCTAGGCGCCGGCCAAGGCGGAACACCGCCCCCCCCCCCATCCCCGCGGAGGGGGAGAGGCGAGCGACGCCCACCACAGCTGGGGCGATCCACAGGAAGGGCCCAGCTTGCGTCCAGAGTTGCACCCAGCCCCACTTTGCGCCCCAGCCCTTAGAGCCAATTCTTATCCCGAAGTTACGATCCGGCTTGCCGACTTCCCTTACCTACATTGTTCTAACATGCCAGAGACTGTTCACCTTGAGATCTGCTGCAGATATGGATACGGCCTGGCGTGAGATTTACACCATCTCCCCCAGATTTTCAAGGGCCAGTGAGAGCTCACCGGACGCCGCTGAAACCGTGACGCTTTCCAGGGCTCGAGCCCCTCTCTCGGGGTGAGCCCATTCCAGGGTGCCCTGCCCTTCACAAAGAAAAGAGAACTCTCCCCGGGGCTCCCGCCGGCTTCTCCGGGATCGGTTGCGTTACCGCACTGGACGCCTCGCGGCACCGATCTCTGCCACTCCGGATTCGGGGATCTGAACCCGACTCCCTTTTGATCGGCTGAGGGCAACGGAGGTCATCGCCCATCCCTTCGGAATGGCATTCGCTTATCTCTTAGGACCAACTGACCCCGTTCAACTGCTGTTCCCGTGGAACCCTTGTCCACTTTGGCCTTCAAAGTTCTCGTTTGAATATTTGCTACTACCACCAAGATCTACACCTGCGGTGGCTCCACTCGGGCCCGCGCCCTAGGCTTCAAGGTGCACCACAGCGGCCCTCCTACTCGTTGTGGCATAGCCCCCGTGGCTCTCATTGCCGGCGACGGCCAGGTATGGGCCCGACACTTCAGCGCCATCCATTTTCAGGGCTAGTTGATTCGGCAGGTGAGTTTTCACACACTCCTTAGCGGATTCCAGCTTCCATGGCCACCATCATGCTGTCTATAACAACCAACACCTTTTCTGGGGTCTGAGAGCACTAAGTTGTCATGGGATAAGAGGGAAGATCCTTTCATGGATTGAGAACTGGTTAAAAGACAGGGAACAAAGGGTAGGAATAAATGGTAAATTTTCAGAATGGAGAGAAGTAACTAGTGGTGTTCCTCAAGGGTCAGTCCTAGGACCAATCCTATTCAACTTATTCATAAATGATCTGGAGAAAGGGGTAAAAAAGTGAGGTGGTAAAGTTTGCAGATGATACTAAACTGCTCAAGACAGTTAAGACCAAAGCAGACTATGAAGAACTTCAAAAAGATCTCACAAAACTAAGTGATTGGGCAACAAAATGGCAAATGAAATTTAATGTGGGTAAATGTAAAGTAATGCACATTGGAAAAAATAACACCAACGATACATAGAATATGATTGGGACTAATTTAGCTACAACTAATCATGAAAGAGATCTTGGAGTCATCGTGGATAGTTCTCTGAAGACGTCCACGCAGTGTGCAGCGGCAGTCAAAAAAGCAAACAGGATGTTAGGAATCATTCAAAAAGGGATAGCGAATAAGACGGAGAATACCTTATTGCCCTTATATAAATCCATGGTACGCCAACAACTTGAATACTGCGTACAGATGTGGTCTCCTCATCTCAAAAAAGATATACTGGCATTAGAAAAGATTCAGAGAAGGGTAACTAAATGATTAGGGGGTTTGGAACGGTTCCCATATGAGGAGAGATTAAAGGGGCTAGGACTTTTCAGCTTGGAAAAGAGGAGACTAAGGGGGGATATGATAGAGGTATATAAAATCATGAGTGATGTGGAGAAAGTGAATAAGGAGAAGTTACTTACTTGTTCCCATAATATAAGAACTAGGGGCCACCAAATGAAATTAATGGGCAGCAGGTTTAAAACAAATAAAAGGAAGTTCTTCACACAGCGCACAGTCAACCTGTGGAACTCCTTGCCTGAGGAGGTTGTGAAGGCTAGGACTATAACAGGGTTTAAAAGAGAACTAGATAAATTCATGGAGGTTAAGTCCATTAATGGCTATTAGCCAGGATGGGTAAGGAATGGTGTCCCTAGCCTCTGTGTGTCAGAGGGTGGAGATGGATGGCAGGAGAGAGATCACTTGATCATTACCTGTTAGGTTCACTCCCTCTGGGGCACCTGGCATTGGTCACTGTCGGTAGACAGGATACTGGGCTGGATGGACCTTTGCTCTGACCCAGTACGGCCGTTCTTATGTTCTTATGGCTAACCTCTCAGTTAAGCCTCCCATTGCAGGCCTGTGTTTTTATATAAATAACAAATTTGTCTAATCGGCTGTTTTCCTCCTTTCCAGGTATAGGTTATGCAAGAAGCTTTCAGATCAAACAACAAACCTGGAAGGCACTGAACCCGTGTGGTGAAATCTACTGTGCATCTTGGCAACAACTGCCCTCTTTGCCCTGGGCTGACATTGTGTCTTTGTGGTCATACAAAAGTAAGACCAGTGCAAAATTCAGGGAAATAAACAGTAGTGAGAGCCCCAGCCTTGCATTGGGAATGGTTTCAGGCCTGTTTGTTTAATACCTAATGTGACCCCTTGGTGCCAACTGGCAGAGGGCACAGAGGGGGTGCATAGGGTTTCAAGGATTCCCTGGGTCAGACATATGCATAGTAATTCACCAAAGGGTGGCATGTGAGGTCTCCCCTGAAAGCTCACTGGTCATAATCATGGTGAAATGTATGTAAACATATTATATACAAAGTTCAGTATTTATACTGAAATGTGTGTTCTTCAGGTATGTAAGTTAAGACAATAAACAAGTTCTGGTCAGGCAGGGGATAGTAGACATTTATCTCCCTAAGTGGTCGTTGAATATTGCATATCTTACAATACAAGTCTGTTTGCATACGGAGCTACCAGCTAATTAAGATTTCAAAGTCTACAGGAAATCTCAAAATCTACAAGAGGGAACACAGCGAAGTGTGTCGTGTTCATGACTAAAATCAAAGAATTAGTCTGGTCTATCAGGAGAATGCAAGGAAACACAAGGTATTAGTCACAGAGTAGGCAAGCTGAGTGTGTGGCTTGTTGAATTGAAAAGGGATTACAGCCACTGGCTGAAAAATGCTGGTGAGAAACACTAGCAGACATGATAGTAACGAGCTGAGCAAGTCATCTAGGTTCTAGAATGCGTGTTATAATTTTATTTTACTTGTCACCATTTGTTTCTAATACCTCTGCTTGTGATCATTGACATCGCTGCTCTTTATTTCATAAACTTTTACCTGTTGTCACTATTAACATACCTCTGTGCTGAATGTTAAGCCGAGTGTGATCTGAAGGGAAATGGGTAAGCTGGTGTTGGTAGTATCGGATCTGTGAATTCTGCAGGTGTCCAGTGGACCAGGGGCTGGTCGCTCCAGAGTGACACACAGGGGTTAGAGTGTCTCTGTCACTAAACGAAAGAGCAAGGCCTGCGTAGGCCTGGAGGGGAGTGCCTCCGTTGCCCATGGCCGGGGATGGGGGGTTGTGGAGCTCACTCTGAGCTGGCACAGACAAGGCTTCCTCGTGCTAAGCAGAGGTGGTAGCGAGGGGCCTCACAACCCGGGCACCCAGGGAAGTGTCACACCTACTGATACGTGTTTATTGCAAACACAAAGGTTTAAGATAGAGTAAAGGCTGCAAGGAACCATGTTACCTTCCGTAGCATCTGCCACTGGGGCATCTGGTCCCTTTTTAGCTGTAGACATGAAAACAAATTGGCAAAAATGAAAATCAAAAGCACAGCAAAATCAGTCAGTCCAGCTCTTACCACAGTTCGATGGGGCCAGGCTGGGACTCTGGAATCTGTAAGTGCGGTAACTGGGGCGCTGCCACACCCCCAGCTTGAAGTGGTTTCCATTATATACAGGGTTTACAGTTTGGTTCAACGTCTCTCAGTACCCCCCGCTAGAAACATTGTTCCAGCCCCCCTGCTGGAATCAAAATGTTCTCTACAGTTGTTAGCACTGGGATGTTTGCAGTCCGCCAGCACTGTGTGCTGAACAGTGTAATTTAATATTTGTAAGTCCCAACTTGCCAGTTTCTGAACTGAGATTTTTTTATCCCAGGGCACCTGCGGAACATGCACGTACTAAGCATGGAATGGCAAGGGAACAGCAATTCTACCTTTCATGTACTAACTATCAGACTGTTCAGCTGCATTAACGTATGGCGTCTGGGTATCACAGGAGTCCTAGGGCTGTGATGGCAACTTGCTGAGACTGTAGATATCACTCTTTAGTCTATGTGAGCATCATGTGACTTTGGGCAAGTCAGTTCTCCTTCTCTCTGCCTCTGTTTCCCCTCCCACCCATTGTGTGCCTTGTCTGTTTAGAACGAAAGCTATGAGGGCAAGTTACTGTGCATGTCTGTATGTCACCTGGCATAGAAAGGTTCCTATTTCAGACTGGATCTTTGAGTGCTTTCATAGTACAAATAATGGCTAATATAAACAGCACAAATATAGCCATATGTTAATGAGCATTACATCAATAATTGCATTTGGACAGCAACATTAAATGAATATAAAACATTCACCAGATGAATTGTGACTTAGCTGGAAGCAGTTAAATTTTACAGTGAGATACAGCACAGAAAAAAATGGAAGAATTCAAACAAACCTCCCAAGATTTCTCAAGGGGCGAGATTATTAAAGGCACAAGTGATGGGTAGACAAATAGCTCCTCCTATTGCAGGGGTTCTCAAACTGGGGGTTGGGACCCCTCAGGGGGTCACAAGGTTATTACATGGGGGGTTCGCGAGCTGTCAGCCTCCACCCCAAACCCTGCTTTGCCTCCAGCATTTATAAAGGTGTTTAAATATATTAAAAAGTGTTTTTAATTTATTGGGGGAGTCACACTCCGAGGCTTGCCATGTGAAAGGGGTCACCAGTACAGAAGTTTGAGAACCACTGTCCTATTGCCTGTGCAAGGCATTTAGGCACCTAACTGCAATTTGTGCCTTAGTTCTATCAGTAAAGATTTATTTAAAAATTATTCCGGAAAGATGACCTGAGGCCCATGTGTGTTTGGACTGGACACCGAGGTGGAAAATAAACCCAACGTCTTTGCAACAAGATGTCTTGGAGTTAGGAGACAAGTGACAGTTGAGACCTCACAGTGAAAAACTTGTTTTTCCAAGTTCCATCATTCAAAAACATTGCGTGACCTCAAACATTACAAATTACCATGAGACTCTTACTAAGCATGTGAGATTCTGGGCTCAAATGAAGCTTTTTTGAGAGTTGGAAAAGGGGTTGAAAGAGCACTTAGGACTTGATTCTCCTTTATCCTGCCCCTTTGTGCAGGCTTTTATACCAGTGCAAAGGGAGTGCAAAACACTACCGTTCTGATCTGATTGCATGTTGCACCAAATTAAATGACTGCACAAGGGGCAAGGGAATTGGGTACCTAGAACTGAAAACACTTTAATTACAAAGTAAGGACTATAGCTCCATAATACATATATTTGTAGGACAATGATCAGCCTGGGATCCATTTTATCTTCTTGTGTAAGCATGTCCACTGGGACACCGCCGGTTCTGTGTGGAACCACTCTGTGAGTGCTTAGCAACTGCTTTCCAAAGTCAAGAGGGCTGTGATTTTCTTCCAGAAAGAAGGTTCTGAGCTGTTGCTTTCCAAACCCTGCTTTTGTGACCAAGCTGGGTTTTTTCTTACCTGCATGAGGGGAGCAGCTTCAGGAACCAGGCATCTTGTATTTTTGCTCTTGCACAACTTAAAATTGACCAAGAGAGTTTTGAATAGAAAGAATGAGCTGGTTGGCCAGCCGAGACCTTTTAATCTGTTTGAGCAGAGGAGTTATCAGGACCACGTTTGAAATGGAAGCAGTCCAAACGGCCAGGGTTAGAGGGCAAGTTGCCTGGGACATGGTGTGAGCACTGCAGGTTATACATTAACCTCTGGATTTAACATTCCTGGTGGAATTGTGAATTCTCTATTCTAGATAGTCCAGTGAGCAGGGTTCCACTTTGCCATGTTCTAATGCCATTTCAAGTCACCTCTGCCTCCCAGGCATCATTTACAGCATGGACAAGGACAGGCTTCAAGATGAGCTGCACATGTTTAGAGGTAAGCCCTCTTCCTTCCCTTCCATCCAATAGCTCAGGAACGGGAGGAAAGAGAGAAACAGGTCGCTAGACCAGATGAATGGGCAGTCATGGAATAAGAGGGAAGGTCTTCTCACAGATCAGTAGCCGGTTAAAAGATAGGAAACAAAAGGTAGGAATAAATGGTCAATTTTCAAAGTGGAAAGCAGTAAATAACGGGGTCCCCCAGGGATCTGTAGCGGGGCCAGTGCTGTGCAACATATCCATAAATGCTCTGGAAAAGGAGGTAAACAGTGAGGTGGCAAAGTTTGCAGAGGATACAAAATTACTCAAGATAGGTCAAAAACTGGGAAGAGACACAAAGGGATCTCACAAAACTGGGTGACTGGGCAGGAAAATGGCAGATGAAATTCAATGTTGAGAAGTGCAACGTGTAATGCACGTTGAAAAACGGAATCCCAACTGTCCATAAAAAATGATGAGGTCTAAATTAGCTCTTACTATTCAGGAATGAGATCTTGGAGTCACTGTGGGGAGTTCTCTGAAAACATCTGCTCAATGTACAGCAGCAGTCAAAAAAGATAACAGGATGTTAGGAACCATTAGCAAAGGGATATACACCTCTACCTCGATATAACGCTGTCCTCGGGAACCAAAAAATCTTAGCGCGTTATAGGTGAAACCGTGTTATATCGAACTTGCTTTGATCCACCGGAGTGCGCAGCCCCGCCTCCCCGGAGAACCGCTTTACCCCCCGGAGCACTGCTTTATATCTGAATTCGTCTTATATCGGGTCGCGTTATATCGGGGTAGAGGTGTATAATAGGGCAGAAAATATCATAATGCCACTCTATAAATCCATAATATGTCCAGACCTTGAATACTGCATGCAGTTCTGGTTGCCCCATCTCAAAAAGGATATATTAGAATTCTTAAAAGTACAGAGAAGAGCAACAAAAATGATTAGGAATATGGAACAGCTTTCATATGAAAACAGCTTAAAAAGAGTGGGACTGTTCAGCTTACAAAATAAATGACTAATATGGGGATACGATAGAGGTCTATCCAGTCATGAATGGTGTGAAGAAAATGAGAAAGTGTTATTTATCCCTTCATGTAACACAAGAACTAGGGCTCCCCCAATGAAATTAACAGGCAGCAGGTTTAAAACAAACATAAGGAAGTACTGCTTCATACAACACACAGTCAACTGTGGAATTCATTGTCGGGGGTGTTGTGAAGGCCAAATGTATAACTGGGTTAAAAAAGAATTAGATCAGTTCATGGAGGATAGGACCATCAGTGGCTATTAGGCAAGATGGCCAGGGGACAACCCCGTGTTCTGGGTGTCCCTAAACCTCTGACTGACAGAAGCTGGGGCTGGACCACAGGATGGGTCACTTGATAATTGTCCTGTTCTGTTCACTGCTTCCGAAGCATCCGGCACTGGCTGCCATCGGAAGGCAGGACACTGGGCTAGCTGGACCTTTGGTCTGACTCAGTGTGGCCGTTCTGAGGTGTCTGCTCTCTCTGCTGCTGTTGAACGGATGCAGCAGAGAAGTCTTTCCTTACCCTGACCTGCGAGAAGGGCGATGAGCATCTCTAGCCAATTCAGTCTTTGGCCTCTCTGCTCTGACAGGCAGGCTAATTAGTGCTAATTGTGCTGGGCTGTTTGGGACAAGGATGCTGGCCCTGCTGGGAGCTATATTTTATGCTTTTCAATGAAAGGGAAATCGTTTGTTGGCAGGTGAGAGAAGGAAGTGGCCTTTCTCCCACTGTAGAGATGTTATTGCTTTGAATTAAGACTCATGGCCCCTGGTATTGTGAAAGGTCTGCGAGTGTCCGACTGGAGACGCCTTAGAGGGGCTGGGTTGTTTAGGCACTCAGCATTGTCTGAAAACTGGAGTCCCCCTTAAGTTGTCTTAAACCGGACACGATGACCAGAATGTGCAGCCACTCTCCAAAGGCTGAGTGACAGGCCTAATTTCCCTGGGATGAAATTGGAATGTGTGTTAAACATCACTTAATGATGGGCGGGAAATAATCCCCTAGAGGGCACGTGCGAAACAAAACTGTAACCCTAGATACTTGGTCACAGTCTGAATGGAGCTTAAACCCTTCCATTGTTTGTGATTATTACTAGCCATTATAAGCACATTACAGGAGTGTCTCGTGGATGGTGAGAAGCTTGTAAGCTCTTTGGGGCAGGGCCCGTCTCTGTTCTGGGTTTGTATGGTGCCCAGCACGCTGGGGTCCTGAGCCAGGATCGGGGCTCCCAGACACTACCGCAGTGAGGCTAAGAAGAAAAACCTGATAGATAGCTGTAAGTTGTAGTTATAAACGCCCTATCAACCTCTATACCAAGCAATTAACCATCTAATTTAGGGTTAATCATTTATTAACCCTTTATAAATGGGACCTTCCTGCAAAGTCACTGCCAAACCTGTCAATCTGTGACCCTTGGCGGTTTTTCTTCTGTTCTAAAGACAGAAACTACCTCCGGCAGAAGCTGAGATCCTCCCGCACAGTCTACGTGCTGCTGGCACTTTCTTACCTGCTGATCCTCATCCTGTTTGCGGTGTCACTCTCCAGAGGTACCGTGCCTGGGGCCTTCGGGAGATGAAACGTTTCACGTCATTAATGAGGAAGGAAGTTGGGGGGACTCAGAGAGACCCCGTGGGGTCTGTGTGCTCAGAAGCCCTGGGGTCAAACCCTGATACTGTCTCCTTCTGGGTCCTTGTTCTTCTTTGTCTTGCCAGCGGCAAAGAGCTCATCCAAGAGCCCCACTGCGCTGGGTGCTGCGCGGACACACGGAGCCAGCCCCTGCCTTGCAGAGCTCGCAGTTAAACCGACACAGGGTGGGAGGGGAATCAGCTGCCCAGGCTCCCCCAGCAGGCCAGGGGTAGAGCAGGGAATAAAATCCAGTCTCCTGGGTGCCAACCGTGTCCCCTGCCTGTCCACCTCGGGAGCAGGGCCCTCGCCCTCTCGGTGTGTCCCTTTCTCTCCAGCTGCAAAGCGGGGGTGGGATTGTATGTTGTTCTCTCCCTGGTGAGGGAGGCAGGTGAAGGTGTGACGCTCTAGCATTGTTACAGAAGGTGCTCTATTGATTATCTTCATCAATCAGGTAAATGAAAGCCTTGCTGGGCTGAGAGCGGGTGGAGGGTGATAAATTAGGTCAAACTTGTTTAACCCTTCCACTGCCTCACACTGAGGTCTTGTTGCTGGTGCTGGGGATGTAAGAGGGTTACTTTGTCAGCACTCACCAGCCCAAAAGGGAGCCACGTCCTAGCCTCCTTGTGGCCATAACCCCAGGGCCAGGCGGATTCTCAGAGCTTCATGTTAGGACTTCTCTGTGCTTGGATTTTTGCACTGATGTTATGCAAATCTCTAGTCACCTTTCATGCCAGCACCACTATGACAGCACAGCTACCCTAGTGCACCAATGCTTACTCTGGGGGACAAACCCTTGGAAACACCCACCGCAGCCTTTGCAAAGCCGCCCGCCCCTTTCTCCCCTGGTGCCTTTGGTTCAGGTCACGGTTGCTTGGGATTTCTGGTGCCCAGTGGGGATTGTCTAATGGCAGTTTTTTCCTTTGTGTATCCCAAGGTGTTTTTGTTTCCCACCAAACCTGTTACATCCTGCTTCCTATTCCAGGCTGAACCAGGTTGTAAACCCGGGAGAATTAGTGCATTAAGGTGCCCAGATCACCTTGCCCTGTGATTGGCTGTAAGGGCATGGTTTTGGCTTTCCCCATGGATTAAATAAGCCTCTTTGGAAGGCGTTTCTAGCACACACAAGTGCTGGTGAGCTCACTGGGTAAAGGGTGTTGAAACCCAAAGATGACTCAATGCCTCTCAGACATAGCAGGGTGGCAGCAGGGTGAGATGACCTGGCATGTGTGTTCTCTCTCTCTCTCTCTCCCCCTCCCCCCCACCCCCCACCCCCGATTTTAGTTTCAATGCTCTCTTCACAACTGAATGAAATGCGCAATGAAGTGAAACGGAATAATTCCAGCAACAATTTCAAACGTAAGTACAGGGCACTGCCCTATGCCCCCCTCCGCCCCGGCTCCTGCTGCCTCTGCCGTGCCCTCCCCATTATACGAGCCTCTTCCTTCCCAGTTCCTCTTCCCTCCCCTGCCCTCTGCTCTGCCCACCTCCCTGGGTTGCCCTCGCTCCTTCTGGCCACAGCTGCTGCTCCCTGCTGGCTGTGATCATTAGGTTGCAGGGTATCTGTTCAGTCTCTAGCACCAGGGATCCTAGCAGCAATTTGGGGGCATTACCTCTTCTGATTTTCCTTGGCTCACTTCATGCTGCACACAGGGGATCCCGGCTTCTGAACTATTTATTTGCTTTGGAGCCTGGGCCCCAGCTTTCTTCTGGTGGTTAGGCAGAAGCAAACCCCTAGTATTGTGACTGGACAGTTCTGGCAATAACCGCTGCCTTGGAAGTCAGGTCCTTGCAGAGCTGGGGTTGTGCTGTCATTTCCACACGGGACAGGGTAGACCTGCCCCACTTGGTGTCTCTGACTGCTGGTCCCTCCCTTTCTCAGTGTTCCCGTGCGGTCCTGAGGCCCGGGAATGGGAATACTTCAGTGGGAAATGTTACTTCTTCTCCTTGCGTGAGACATCTTGGCAGAGGGCGAAGGTGCTGTGCGAGGAGGAGCATTCACGCCTGGCCATCATTAACAGCCGCACCAAGCAGGTAAAGACGAGACAGTCTGGATGGAAAACCTCTGAGCTTCTTTCTCATGGCTTGCCTTCTCTCAAGGCCTCTCTGTCATTCCCGCATTCTTAGCACCCACAGGAACTAGCTGCTTCCCCCAGCTACCTCTGCATCACCCTTCTGTGGGTTCCCAACGCTACACATGTAACAACTCTGGTGTGGG